CCTCTGCCACCCCCAGTTATATCGTTCGGGTCCTCAGAAGGGTGGGCAGCCAGCAGAAGCCGGGGCAGAGCACAGCGAACTCCAGGTAACGGCTGCGCTGCTGACGTCCTCGTCGTCATTCAACAAACCCGAGGAGCGGCTTTCAAACTAGGAGGGACTTCTCTGTCTCTGCCGTGTAGTCACGCGTGTTTAAAGTTTCTGAGGTGACTATACTGGTACTCCTGTCACGGGAGAAAAGGCGCCGTTACCTTAGAAAGAGTCCGGGGCGAGCGTCTCGTGAGTCCCGCAACCAGGGGAGGAGAGGACAGGGGAGACGCTCCCTGACCACAAGTGCCGTGGCGGGCCCTGCCCACCGGACTCAAGGCAAACAGGCCCCACAGCTGCAGAGGGACAATGCGACCTCTGCCTCTGGGTGGTTCGATGTGCTAGTCCTTAGCGCTGACGTGCTGGTCCTCCTGCTGTGCCAGGAGCAGGGGCCGAAACTCTTGCAGGATTCCTGCTTTCACCCAGTTTCCAGGCCCCTCTGAGTTAAATTCAGATGCAGCAGCTTTTTACCTAAATAATGTGCCATAACTTAAAGGAGATTCTTGCTTAGGACACTGGGCTCAGCCGGCCCCACCACCCTGGAATATTTTGCTGCCTTGTTCAGGTGGCAACGCTCATGATTCCGTTTCTAAGCTTCTGGAGCATTCTCTGCAGTGCTCGGCCTTCAGACCATCTCGCGTCCTAGAGCAGAGATCGTGGTGAGTCTGCAAGGCCCTGCAAGTCTAGCAAGACACGTACTTGCCTGCACACAACCCTGGGCTTGTGACGTCTAGACCCAGCAAACGCCAACTCCAGTGACACTCGGTGTGGTGAGCTGAAAGGGACTTTTGTGTGGTTAAGGCTGTGGTTCTCGCGGGGTGAAATACCCTTAATGCAAATGCTTTGAATTATTTTTAGAGCTCTGGAAGTAGGACCTAATTACCTCATGACCACTAGCTTCACTGCTGCATTTTTCTCAAAACCAAGAAGCATTGTTAAATTTTTGTTCTGCCCAGGCTTGAAGCCATTTAGAAAGAAGGGATAAAAAGACCAAAGAACAGAGCAGAGGACAAGAAGTAGGACAGGAGGGACAGGGGGACACGGAGGGGCTCCCCGATTAGGGCAGGAGCTCCCCACAACCTCCCCATCAAGCATTAGCCCTTCCTGCCACAGAAGCTGGTGCCTGGAGCCACTTTCTCATCTTCAATAAGATTATGGAGCCTCAAATATAAAATAAGGAATCAAACGTCTTCAATTCGAAATCCTTTCCACCAAAGCCTATGAAGTTTCCAAATTTACCAAGGACACAACCAACATTTTTCCAAATGGTTTCTAAATCTTTCTTCAGAGCAAGCTCTTGGAAGGATATATTACAGGGACAAATACATGAGGATTTTTAAGGCTATTTTATCCTGGTGCATCTTCTGGAAACATTTGCCAGACCCCATCCCTACCATTGTGGCTCGCGTTTGCCTCTGCCTGCGTTTATAATGTTGTAACCCCGAGGCCACAGAGCATTTCAGGAAGCAATATTCATGTGTACTGTTCGAGAAAGGCATCGTTCTCTTTTTAAGAGTTGAATTTTATGTGCTTTAATTTAATCCAGAGTAACCTCCAGAAGAATCAACATTATGATTCCCAAAGTGATGATGGGTCTCACTATCAAGATGAAATTTCCTAAAATCAAAGTTCTAGAAAGGATTGTCTGCAAGCTAAGCCATACTTACAAAGGTATTTGAACAAATCCATGTAATCATGTTCATGATTTGCATTTGGGGTTGTTTTAATAAAGATTTATAGAAAAGTTAGTACCTAATCCTAGCATTGTTGAAAATAATCTATCAGATCTTAATTACATGAAAAGTATATTTAACTTGAACCTACCTGAGTGTTTTCAATTTTCCTATATTTCAATACTGTTTAGTTCCCGGGCTTAGAACTCAACCACAATGAAACAGCTTTGTTAGTTTTCACAGTTCATTGCTACGGTACGTTGGTGGGTCTCCTCAGCTTCGGCTCACCCGTAAAGAGAATGAGCCCGGATTCACAGTCTGGAATTCTCAACCTCTCTCTTCATGGTGCCCTGGTACTTGTCTTTCCTGCTCACTCGATGCCAAGACAACCTTTGTCCATTCAAATTTGAGGTAACTCCTTAGAATTTTTGACTTCAAGACATTCCATGAGAGTTCTAAAGTTCTTAAATGTAATTTTCCAATAGCAAACTGACAATTTTATCCCCGACCCCAGCAGCTGCTCCTACCGCAGTGCCGCCGTCCCAGGTAACTGGAACGAACATTGGCAGTTCACCTACGTTCCTGTTTTTTGCCGCTTGGTTCTTATTTGTCTCTCTGGCGTCTCCGCCGCGCTGCCCTGTATTTCCTTCCCGTTGCGTCATGCGGGGGAACTTCACTCACCTCGTCCACGCCCAGCAGAAACACAAGACAGGAGAGCAAAAGGATCTCAATGCAAGCGCCTAGGTCTGGGCAGCCGGACTCTGCAAATCAGAGACCCCCTCCTGCCCAGAGACACCGGTGACCAGCCGGCGGCCCCTTTCTACCTGCGCAGGGAGTACCGGAGGGCCCCGGTCTGAGCTCCAGCAACACAAGTTAAATTAGGAGACCAAGATGTCTGGTTGTCTTTGGAGACCACAGCCTACAGGATAGACCGGAACCTCCCTGCAGAGCAAGGCGATTGCCCTCGAAAGGGAAGTATTTCTAGGGACCGACTCTCCTAACACAATAGCCAAAATGCCCAGGATTCAATTGAAACATCACACATGGTACCAATAATGTAATCACAAGTTGAATGAGAGAATCAATCAGCTGATGCCAACATTAACATGAGTCAGAGGCCAGAATTACCGACGAAGATTTTAAAGCATCCATTATAAAGATGTTCTAGTGCGCAACTGCAGGGTCTGTTACAACAAATGAAAAAGGCAGGAAAATATCACTGAAAAACAGAAGTCATTTGAAAGAACCCCATGGAATAGAACCGAAAGATGGAGGAACACAAACTTTATAAATAGCACAACCGTGTTCAATAGTAGAACGGAGGGGACAGGATGGCAGCAGTGGAGAGACAAATCAGAAAAAGCAGCTTCTCTGAGCCACTGAGACGACAGACTGCAAGAAATGAACCAAAGCTCGGCGATCTGGGGCCAGTAGCAAAAGACGAAATACCCCTGAGGCAGACGAAAGGGGGGTGTTGGAGTGTTTTGAGAAAATAATGAATGAAAATGTCTCCAGTGTGGTGACGGCCCTCAGCATACAGATCGAGAAGCTGGAAAAACTCAGACGGGACGCTCTGAAGGGAATTCGCACCAAGTCACGTCATATCAAGCTCTGGGAACGCCAGAAGGAGGGAAACTTGAAAGCAGCCAGAGAAGTGACGCGGTTCCCACAGGGGACCATGAATTTAAGTGACCTCAGATTCCTCCAGCTCCCTCTGCCCGCCTTGAAGCCCCTTCCCGGCCCTAAAGTCTGTCCCCTGGGCACATCCGACCATCCGTCTCTCTCCAGTCACCTGTCACCCGACTCTACACCACGCCTGTGCCGGCCACCCCGGCTGACCTCCCGGCCTCCACACTCTGTGCCGCGGTCCATTAGGCCAACAGCACCCCAGCAGCCAGGGGCCTTCTCAAGGCTGTGCGGCGTCCGCGGTCGGCCGACAGGGACGCACCTGTGCGTGAGGGCGCTGTCTGCACCTCTCTCCAGCCCCCTGCTGCCCTGCCAGGGCCCCCCGCCCTGCTGTTGTTGCTGGGTGGACAGCAGTGCTGGTGTGTCCTCCCCCGCCGGGCCACCTGGGGACACGAGGCTGAGGGACACCAGGTGTCATCTCAGGGCAACCAGGTGTGGTCCCATGGGCGTCCCCGGTTCTCCCAAGGGCCCTGGACACCATCGAGCCATTCCCGCGCCAAGGGGTCTGGCCATCTCTTCTGCCCACACCTGTAGCATCACGCACATCCGCCCGCAGGCTGCGCCCACCCCACACTGCCCCTTGAGGTGCGCTCCCCTAGGCCAGGTTGGGGTCACTAAGGCAGCAGCCTCGGCAGAGGCCTTGCTGACCAGCCCCCTCGACCGACGCCAGGCACTTACCTGCCCTGTGCTCGGCCATCGCCACCGTCGTGACTCCAGTCCTTTGCTGGCGAGAAGCAGCCACTCGACCACGCGCTGCTGGGCGGACAGACAGAGTTTCCCGGCACTTTCTCCTGGGCCCCACCAGTGACTGGCACATGGACGCCTTTGGTGAGAGCCGCTCGGCCAGTGGGTCCAGCAAAGGCGCTGGTCAGTGCAAGCAGAGGGGCCTGTGGCCCCCAGAGAGTGCAGGGCCCAGCCCAGAGTCCAGCTCCTGGTCGGAGGCTTAGGAAAATGGAGGACGGAGCAAGGCCAGGGAAGGGGAAGGGCGGGTGGGCGGGAGGGAGTCCGAGAGTCGGCGTGGGAAGGGCAGGCCAGGAGGAGCCCCAGGAGTGAGGGGCAGCAGGCCAGGAGAGGCAGGAGTCAGTAGGGCCGGGCGCGGCTGTGGGCCAGGAGCGCGGCCTGTGGCGGTGAGTCTCGGAGGAGCAGAGGCTGGCGGTCAAGCGGCTGCGCCAGCGGGCGGGGCATGCTCTGCCAGTGGGGCAGACGGATAAAGGAGCGTCCGGGAGCCCTCAGCGGCTTTTCTCTTTCTACCCCCTGCTGTGGGGCGCACCCGCAGGCCAGTGAGGGGGGCGGGGAACAGGGCGCGGGCAGGCCCCCAGCCCCTGGCAGACCCTTCCTCCTCCCCATGTCTCTCGAGATCTCATCCTCTCGCAGCAGCTCCCCCTCAGCGGCCTCTATAGGCTCCGCCCCCGCCCAGGTGCGCCCACCCAGCAGGCCACACTGCACTCCAGGTGTCCCCCATCAGGCCCGCCTGCCTGCACCCACCGCCCCAGCACCTCTTGCATTCAAGGCCGCAGGCCACAGCGGCCAGCGGCACAGAAGCCTGAGCATCTCACCCAGCACGGCCGACATCTGCTCTGCGGAATCGCCCACCTGTTGAAAGAGGGAGGGGAATTGTCAGGAGGCTGAAAGGTGTGGAAGTTCAGGGTGAGAAAGGAAGGCCTCGCTGTCTAGGGGGGAGCAAACTGCAGGGGTCAGGGGTGGTTTCTCCCTGTGCCAGGCCCTGACTTTCTCCAACAGAGACCCGCGGTCGGGGTTTGGGGGGGTTCAGGATCCGGCGTGCAGGACGAGCTGCCACCAGCCTCCCGGCCCCTCCAGCCCACGGACTCTGGGCTCCTGGGCCCCGGCCAAAGTCTGGCCAGACCCTGTCTTGCTAAACCCCCAACGCTGCGCAGCCGCTGCTCCCCGGGTGTCTCCACCGCCTGCTAACAAAGCTTATCCATTGTCCTCGCGGCAGAAAGGATTCCAAAATTCATCTTCTCCATAATTCAGACCCAAGTCGGCCCACGGCAGGCTCGGGTAATTTGGCCAACTCGCCGGCCACGTTCCTCACGTGTAATCCATCATCATTACGAGACGCATTCACAGCATTTCTCTCCTTGGCATAAAGTCTGAAATGCAAAGGACTGTGAGGACAGAGAGATGAACCAATGAGCTACTGGGCCCCGGTGTGTGCTTTGTTAGAAGTGAAAATGGAACTAGGGTTCCCGGGGAAGAGCCCCTGCCCGGCGTGGTCACACGCCCCTTTCACAACACGAAAAATAAATTCACCCTCTGGAAAAAGAAGAAAATGGGCCTGACAGACTCATCCTCCCTGTTCCTGAGGTGTCTCCCAGCCTGTGCACGGGGCCAGGGAGAACCAGCCAGGCCACGGCAACAGGACGAGCGCCCGTCCTCTGTGAGCAGACACTCCTCGCCGGCCCCCGCCACTGTTACCAGCCCCAGCCCCAGCCCAGGTGTGCGGGGACCGTGTCACCTTCACAGCCGGCACGCACTGCCCCCAGTGTCCACCTCTCCGGTTGCAGCTCTGAGGTGGGCCCCTGAGTTCCTATAGCTCCTTCCCCATGGTCACTCGGGGAGGCAGAGTGAGACCCAGCGGGGCCACAGGACAGGGCCCTGCAGGCCGGGGCCGCGGCCTTTGAAGCCAGTACCGGGTGTGGGGTGGCCCGCGGGGCTCCCCCTCTGCAGCTTCCACCTGGCCACGCCCAGCGGCTGTGACCCAGACGGACACACCCTGCCAGGTGACGGCACACACCTGTGTCTGCTGATGGCAGGTAGAGTTTCCCACACCGAGACCAAGATGACCTGGACCTAGAACACACTCGACATGTACGTGTTAGCTGCTTCCTGACGCTGATGCAAACGAGACTCCCCTTGGCATCTTCAGCCGTCCCCGTCGGAGACACTAGGGCAGCTGGCCCGTCCCGTGGGGACACGCTCGGCACGTGGCCGGAGAGGGACCGCCACCGCTTCCCAGCCAAACTCTGGACGACTGGATCAGTGCGCACTTTTCTGGCTCATGATCCCATTTATGTTCATATTGTTTGTTATACTGTTAAGGGGTCGCTTTATGGGAAAATTTTAACTTGCTTGAATTCAGAACTGTCTTGAAAACCCCAAGTCACAGCGGCAGGGTCAAAAGCCACTCAGAGCCTGATGAACGCACTCTGGGGTACCGGTTGGAGGTGAGTCCCACCCTCAAAAGGACACGGCTGTAAATCTGCACAGTCCCCCGCCACGGGCGCGCAGGGCCAGTCAGGGACAGTGGCGGGCACAGCAGGTCTTGTGCGCCCAAGGCGGTGGTTCCGCCTCGGGTAACTGGCAGCTTTGTGAACTTCGGGGAAGGCGGAGGTGGTGATCCCATATTTCTTTAGACAACTTGAAACTCAAAGCCTGTTGAGACGGTGTTGACTTGGGGGCCCCTGCACCCCACGCCGTGGGGCCTGCCATCGCATGTCCTAGCTCGGTGCTCTCCGCTGGGCAGGACCAAACAAACAAACAAGAGCCAGTGAGGGGCGCTGTTCCAAGCCCATCTTTCCAAAAGGAAATTGGAGGAAACGCTCAAGATCTGCGGGGCTCACCTCCCCGCCGACGCCCCGCCAGCTGGCGGTGCACGGACACCCTTGCAGGCCCGCCGCGGTGGAGGACCGGGAGCCGGCGGCGGAGGAGCGTCCTGGGCCAGCTCCAATAGCCCGCAGCCGCCACATCTCCAATAACGTGCCCCGTGGAAACGCGGCTCTCAGCAGATTCGGGGGAGACAGAGAGTGCCTGGCAGTGGGCTCCCATAACCACCGCAGGACCCTCATGGAGCAGGGGGCACCCCGCAAGGGCAGCGCGGGCCGCGGGCGCCACCCTCCTTCGGGTGTCCGGTGAGACCCTTGTCCTCCTGTGGCCAGCGCAGGACACGCCCCGTGTCCCAGGGACGCCCACGAAGCCGGAGCACGAGCCCGCGGTCTCCTGTCGTGCGGTGCGGGTCGGCGGTGTTTCAGATTCCGCTGCCTCCTCGCTTCTGCCCGCTCTTTCATGTAACGAGAGAGGCTGCCATGCTGACTTCAGCCCCAGCTCTGCGGGTCACCCTCGGGCAGCAGACGAGAGGCGTCCCCCGCAGAGAGACGGCGGTGCCCCGCGTGCCGGCCAGCGCGACCCCCCATCTCTGGTCGGTGGGCCTCTGGCGAGGACAGTCATCCGTCAGGACGCGGGAGGTGCCTCGTTAGCTCACCAGCACCTGCCCTGAGCTGCACCTGCTCAGAGAGTGTCCATCATCCACCCGGCGCCGCCTTCCTGCCCGTGAAGTGACAGCGGCCGCCTCCGTTCAGGGCGCGCGCGGCCAACGGCCCGAGGTGGGTCGGCACTGGAAGGAGCCCCCGGCGGGCAAGGGGCTTAGGGTGAGGAAAGACTCCGTCCGTGGGTGCTCAGTGTCCACCCGCCAGGCTCCGAGCGCTGACCGGCCGCTCGCTGACCATGGATGCAGCCACCCAGACAGGCGATGGCTGGACAGTCCATCCAGCACCCCGAGGGTGAGGGGCCTCCCCCCGGGACAGAAGTGCTCCAAGCTGGGGGGAGTAAGCCATGGGCCTACCCAACTCCAATTCCCCAGAGCTGGATCTCTCCCACGCGGGACCAACACCCTGACTTCCCGCTGGCTGCGGGAGGCGGAACACGCCGCAGGTCACCCCTGGGGGACGCGCGTCCCCGCCTGGCTTCTCCCTGACCCCGGCGCCGCTTTGTTTCCCCGCAATTCTTTTCAAAACTTTCCATTTTCCATCAGCCTCCTGGCGAGCTGGACAGAGATTTTTCACAGTAACAGGGACGATCCTTCCTGAAACAACGCGGGGTCAGCCTGAGTTTTTTGTTTCCTCAGTTAAAGAGACACTGGAAACACACAACACATGTTCTTAAGAAATTTCTCTCACCACTCACTCAATTTCCCCCACCTTCCCCCTTTCTCCCCCCCCACTCAGCTCCCGCCCTCCCCACCCGGCCCCCCTCCGTAATTGCCCGGCCTTTACAAACCCTGCCTGGGAAGAAACACCCTGTCTATTGCTCTGTCAAATGCGCCTGGCTAGGAAAGCTATTGGGTTTCTAGAAGAGACAAACATTTCAGGCGCGCCATTCCGGGGTAATGAAGCATGGCAACAAAATATACCTGTGCAACATTTGATAAAGATGAGCTGACACGCCAGTCCAAATAGGTTCTCTGGTGAGTGTGCGGCGTCTGCCGGCGTCGCCGCCCGGAGCAGCGGCAGCTGCCGCGCACAATCAAGCCTCCTCTACCTCCGGCCTTGCTCGGCTCCCTCTGCCCTTAATTTATTGCATGTTTTCTCCCTTTCTATGCAAAAAAAGTGGCCCAATTTTTCTTTCTTTCGCTCGCTATCGCACTCCTCTTCCAGGGCGCCGGAGACAATGGCAGCTCCCCGGGGCCGAGCGCGGCCTGCGCTGGACGCTCCTCAGCGGGCTCGCGGCTCGTATTGTTGTTTGATTAATGCAAAGTCAAATCAAACCCTACAGTTACACACAGGCACCCCCGCAGAGAGCACGCACACTTGACTTCCTGCTTTGGTTTACAGAAAACAGCTTTTGTTGCTCAATCTCCACCCGGAGAGAGGCAGCGGGGAGAGGGAGGCCAGCTCAGGGAGTCTGATGACGCAGAAAATCCAGCGCTCGAGGCAGAGAGCGCCCCGGCCGCTCCCGGAGCTGGACTCCCCTGCCTGCTTGCCTGTGCCCAGCCACCTCCTGCCGCAGCCGCTGCCCCCCAGGGCTGGACACGGGAGGTGCCCTGTCCGCCTGCCCTGCAGGGCCGCCCACCGGCGGCGGGGCCACTGCCTGCTGCTGTGCATGGAGAAGCCATCCTAGTTGCACAGCGGTAGCCAGGCTGCAAGAGAGCCGGCGGGCACCCTGGGGCCGGGCTGTGTCCCTCCCCCCTGGGGCCCGAGACACAGCCGCCCGCCCCGCAGGGCCGTCCCAGCCTGCCCCAGCAGCTTTGCCCTTTGTCAGCGCATCTAACCGAGAGTCCATCCTGGGGCCTCTCCGAGCTGTGCAAACCCCGCTGCAGTTTGGGGCTGCAGTTTGGGGCAGGGAGAACCGCTGCTCTGAGCTGGATCTGCCTGCACAGAGCCTGGTTGAGGGGCTCTGCTCACTCCCCAGAGTCCCCTCGGGGGGTTGGCTGGAAGGCCTGGGCCCAGGGTCTGCCCAGCCGCTTGATAGCCTGGAGGAAGAATCTCGGTATCGATGAGCTGCCCCCAGCCCTGTACAGAATTACAACAGAAGCTTCTAGACCTTCTACCATGGACGGCGCTGGAGGGACAGTGAGCAGAGAGACTGTTCGCCCGGCAAACTAGAGGATGTGACAAACAGATGCATCTGTTCTTTTTTAAATGGTAAAAGTAGCTTCTAGGGATTTAAAGAAAATGCCGGAAATCAGCACAGACTAAAGTTGCATCAAATCTCAAGGACTCAGGGATAAAGAGAAAACAAGCCAGAAAGCCCACAAGCCGCACGGTGTCTCACAGCCCAAGCGCCTGAAATTCCCGGTCACTCAGCCGTCATCGGCCTTGTCAAAGTCGTTACACCCGCTTCACTCATTCCATCGCGGAGGGACTGGAGACACCGAGCCCGACGGCGTGAGAGCAGCTCCCAGAAGCCCTCCCTGGCCGACCGCTGTCTGGCTGTGCCAGAAGCTCATCATGTGCGTGTGCATGTGTGTGGGCGCGTGTGGGTGCATGGGGGTGCATGTGGGCACGCGTGGGTGCACATGCGTGGCGTGGCGCCAATGCTGGGACTGTCGCTGGAAGGACAATGGCACAAGGACACGCGGAGCCCTCCCTGAATCACTCTCAAGCAGGCGGAGGCGTTAGCGCTGATTTATGAATGTATTTCCACAATTTACTTGAAAATCTGTAATGTCTGTGTGGCCTGGCAAGAAAAACAAAGGTGAGGGTTCTGTGAAGGAATGCCCCGCTCCACTTTATGGTGAAATTATCCCATGCTACCTGCTCTAATCCCCTGAAAACAAATTAAATCCTCACTAAGCTGACTTTAAATCAATAGTTTCATTTAAGAATAGTGTGACTTAATAAAAATAAAAAACTAACTGGTCCAGCCAATTTAAGAGGGAAATAAATCATTGCCCAAGGAAAAATAGCAGATTTGACTTGTATATGGGCCCCGGCAGCGTGGGGAGGGGGGTGTGGTGGGGGGGCGTCTGCGTCTGAATTAACTGGCTGCAAATGCAGCTCCAAACCCCATCAGGGAACCTGCTTTTCCATGTGTGCCCCAGAGCAAAGAGGCCAGTCACCCCCAAAATGAGAAGAGCATTTCAATCTGTAATTTGAAGAAAGGACGCACTGAAAACAAAAGGTGAGGCTCCAAGGGTCCCCTCGGCCCTCGGCTGGGGACGGGGTGTGTGGGAGAGGAGGGGCCGAGCAGGTGCTGGTCCAGGAAGCAGCTTCCTGGGGAGCCGGGACGGAGGGCAGCCCGGCGTGGTGATGAGCTGCAGGGATCACAGACGACGGCCGTCCCCCGGCCAATCTTCGTTAGAAGACGTCAGCAGGTTGGCCTTGAGACCTGACTGCAGACCTGAGGCCAGCGGAGGGCCAGGGGCCCAGTGCAGGGGGCAGATGGGTGGTGACACATATCTGAAG